GGCGGCTAGCGGCTCACCAAGCACCCTTGCCTTCCTTCTCTGGAGGCCAGTTCCAAATCCAGCTCTGGGTCTTTCCATGTGGAAAGCAGCCCGGGCTGAACCATGGGGAGATCGGGAGGAGGCATCGACCGGGTGACAGTTGCTGCCCCACCCACGGAGCCCAGGACCCAGGTGGCCGTGGCTATCACAAAAGATGGACCCGGGGCGGGAGAACTCCAAGGGCCCATCAGCCCTTGATTCATTGGGCCTTTCCCAGTAATTGTTAGGGCCTGACCCAGAGCAAGTGTCCGTAGAACCCACAGGGAAAGGGGGGGTGTCCCTCCTTGATCAAAGTCCTAAAAATGACCCCGTGGTCCCACGCAGACTCGCCAGCATGTGGGGTGACGGGTCACTTCTTGGTTTGAGGGTTTTGTTCAGTCATTCTAAAGCACACTTCGTTAAAACCCAGACTGAGGTTTACCTCTTGTCTTTGCTTCCCTGACCCTTGTGGGAATGAGGCCAGGCACCGGAGGACCCCCAGCGTCCGGCCGGACAGACCGGGCTTCTGCCTCCATGTGCCACTGGGTGGCGCTGCCACCGAGCACTTGGTTCCTGGGCTAGCATCCTCCCGGCCGCTCCGGGCAGAGTGGGGCGGGGCCGGGCTGTGGGGTGCCACTGGTGTTTCCCGGCCTGTCCCTCCCGGTGGCTAATGCCCATTGTGGACTGTCTCTCTCTCCTTTTTCTCTGTCTTCCATCGCTGTCTGCAGTACTCGGTATGGGAGCCCCAAAAGACAGCTGCAGTTTTACAGGTAACGAGCCCTCCGTTTCCCCCAAGCCCCACAGGCTGAAGGCAGGGGAACGGGCGGGAGGGCCACGCCCATCCAGCTCGGCGGTGCCGGTGAAAATCCCCAGCTGGTGAAAATCTGGGGTTCTCTCCCAGTGCCCTCCCACACAGCATTATGTAATGTCCTGATGAACACTGTGAAGTCAGGTGCATTGTGTGTGCTCATCTCTAGAATTTGCTTTGATTGGAACAAACGGACTTGTGACACCTGCTTAGCTCGCACCGGATCTACCTTAAAATCTCACACTTGTCCGGCTGCGGATGCCGCAGGTCTAATGTCCACAGGTTTGTGCTTCTTGGGTGATCCCAGTAAACGAGGTGGGGCAAACCCAACCATTCTCCCCTTCTCTTTGGGTTTGAACTGATTTGGAATCAAAGGGGTAATCAAAGGCCAATACGTTCTCGGGGGCATGGGGCTGCAGTGTGACCTGGGTCAGGGCTGGACCTGCTGGTGTTTTCTGGAGCATCTCCCTGCTGGTGAATCGGCACACCATGTTCTTCAGTGCAAGGCTGCACCCCACAGGGACATGGCATCGACGGGCCCTGCCTTGCAGCCCGGGCCAAGGCAGGTCATCCAGCAAAGTCCTCCGGGGTGAGTCCCTTCCTCCTTTGGGCAGCTTACCTGTGGCGTGGGGAGGTGCGCCACAAAGACGCGTGCTTCTCAGGTAGTCTGTAACTCCAGGAATTTACTTTGACGTTTTCCTCCTGTCAGGAAAGTGTCGGGGTTAAGGAAGCCACAGGTCAGCCCCATCAGCCTCAGGACTGTAGGAACTCGGTGTGGATCTTGGGAGCAGGGCCCTGGTGTGTGGCATGTGCCTTGGCATTTAGGCCTGGAAGGTCTCTGTCTAGACCAGCTCCCCAGGGCTATGCCCACCTGCCAGTGCAGAGCCAGGAGCCGGTTATCGCCCAACCACAGGGAGTCTGGGGTCTTGGTTCTGGGGTCGGCAGCCCTGCAAAACCCACATGGCTTTTCCTTCCTGCAGCCCCGGCACCTCTGAGCGGGACTGTGGGCCTGGGTCCTCGGGCTAATTTTGCCACCCCTTCGGTGCCTCCCACGGGGTCTCACTCCTTCCAGAGAGCCCTGAAGACATGACTGAAATTTCAGCTGGATAAGATTTTGCCTGAAATAGCTAGAGCTGAACTTGGGCTTGCAGATGCTTTTATGGGATGACGCGTGTACCATCACGCATGTGTGATGGCATCGTATGTCAGAATGTGGGTGAGACATTCGTCCCAGGAGGATTTGACCAGTGAGACCAAACATGCCCCTGAACTGAGTCCTCGGAGACCCCGGAGGAAAGGAGTGAGACTGTTGGCGGCAGAACCGCGGCCCAGACTGCCAGGAAGGGCCCGCCGAGGGAGGTGCCCGGGAGATTGCGGGGTATCACAGAGCTGAGGCGAAAGAGTGTCCCACACCCCTTGCTGGCCCTCAGGGCCCCACAGATCCAACCTGTTGTGCACTCCCGGGGGACCCTCTGTCCTGCCCCGGGGCCAACTCTGTTGGAGAACCGCACCCCAGATGTGCAGCCCTCCATCTGGGCCTCTCAGCACCGCGTCCCTGATGCCCACAGGCTCCGACTGTCCCGCCCTTTGCGTCTCCAGTGTGGTTTCTTCTAATAGACACTCAGGTATCTCTTGTGGGGTCTCCGACGATGACCTCTAACGAGGTGGGATCTTTGTTTAATATCCTGGGTGCCGCTCCCAGGGGGGCGTCCTTGTCATCTGGGCACCCACACAGCCCTCAGAGGGTTAGGTCAGTCGGCGTGCGGTCCCTCCCCTCACGGGGCAGAGGTGTTCGAGGTGTGCGTCCTGTCCTCAAGCAGCTCACAGACCAGTAAGGGAGGCAAGACCCTGTATCTGTCAGCTGTTCCGGAGAATGCCATGTGACAAACAACCTCCAAACTCAGTGCCCTCCAACAAGAAGCATGTGTTTCTTGTTTATGTGTCTGTGCCACTTCATCCAGGCTGGGCTCTGCTGGGTTTGGCCTGAGCTGCAGGTGGGGCCCGGGTGTTCATCCTCCCGTCCTTTTCTTTTTTTTTTTTTAAAGATTTTATTTATTTATTTGACAGAGACACAGCGAGAGAGGGAACACAAGCGGGGGGAGCGGGAGAGGGAGAAGCAGGCTTCCCGCCGAGCAGGGAGCCTGATGTGGGGCTCGATCCCAGGACCCTGGATCCTAGGCAGATGCTTAAGGACTGAGCCACCCAGGTGCTCCCTCCCATCCTTTTCAACCAGAGGCTGTTCCAGGCAAAAGCGCCAGAGGAAGAACAGATGCACGTCATGCATCTGAAGGCCCACAGTTAGAAGCGGCCCACTGGCGCTCCTGTTCATACTTCTGGCCAAAGTAAGTCTCATGACCACACCAGATGTCGAAAGGCAGGAAAATACAGCCCCGCCCCCATTAGGAGAAGGATAGGTGATGCAGAGAGGGGGAAAGGCCCTAGAACCACAACGCAGTCTACCCCAGAACCCAAATAACTAACAACATCTAGAAGGCAGAACTTGTTGTGGGAGAAGTCCAGACAGCTGTTGGCATTCCAAGGAAGGAGTGAGCACCGCCCGCTGTGAGTCAGGGAAGGCTTCGTGGAGGAGACAGCATAAGGGCTTTGAGGGGGCCTTGGAGGCTGGGCAGTCTTCAGCGTAGAGCCCAGGAGGAACATTCCAGTAGATGCCTGAGCCACAGCTTGGAGAGGTGCCAAGGACAGGAGGTGGTGGGGGGCGGGATGGACAGTGACAGGAGGCCAGACTATAGAGGAAGGTGGAGGTCAGGTGCAGAAGGTCCTTGAGTGCCAAGCAAAGGAGCTTGGACTACATTCGGTGGGCACTGGGGAGCCGTCCGTGGTGTTTGAGCAGGACAGCGATAAGAGCTCTGCTGGGGGAGGGAATAAGACAGCAGGTGGAAAGGCTGGATGCGGGGAGCTCAGGAACGATGGAGAAGGGCTGAGCCCCAGGAGCCACGGGAAGAGGAGTAAAGGGAGCAAGGCAAGAGAACAGGAAGTCGGGAGCCCTGTCCTCCAGGTTACTGACGGCTGGTGCTGAGAGGGATGTAGAGTTGACAGGGGGGCAGAGCCCGGGAAAAGGAGACGGGGTGTCAGAGTATGTCAGGCTTAGGCCACCACCCAGCAGTGACATAGAGGCCAGTGACATGGTGGGCCTGTGCCTTTGACAGCAACCATCCCAGTTCCATCACCGGGGTCTTTCCTGGTAACGATTTGCTGCCGGTTCCTTAGGCTCTGCCTCCCACATCCCATTTTGTTTGCTTTCTACTGAGGGTCTGGGTAGCAACTCCCGACGCTAGTAGCATCCACTGTTTGCATGTTTGTCATGGGAGAATCCACTAAGCTTCCATCCAGAATCCCTCCTGCTGGAAGATAGAGTCATGCTGAGACTTCCTTGGGATCCTAGGATGACAAGCAGTGCCCCTGAGGTTGTGACACTGGCATGGGGTCTCAGCATAGCTTCAGCCCTGAGTTCAGCCTCAAAGCATCTTCCAAAGCTGGGTCAGAATGTGTGCTGTGAGGAAGGGTCCCTGCAGCCCCGCCTGGAGGGAGTGGCAGTGTGGTGTTGCAATAGCAGACTTCCAGAACCTTCCGGCCAATTATAGGTACTGACAGTATAGGATATACCAATCTGGGTCACGTCCCAGTAGAAGGGAGGAGGGACATCCGTCTGCATTGCTGAGGGTAGGTCTTGCCAGACCCCAACCCCTTCACTGTGGGTGGTGGTCACATCCTCCGTGGATCCCCGGCCCCGTACTGCAGACACAGAACATGGTGGGCAGAGCTGCAAGCCCTGGGTCCTGGCCTCGAATAACCAAAGCACGGCCTGCCCCTCCCCCGCTGTGGCCCATGTCTCTGGCGCTCGGGGGGCAGTGGAGGGCTGGTGAGGGAGTGTGCCCACAGGAAGGGCCAGACCCCAGTCAGCGCCCCCCTCCCAGCCCTGCGTGCCAGAATCAGGCCTTGCCAGGCTGCACCACGGAACTGCATTTCCCGGGCTTTTAGGGGAAGAGACGCTCGTGAATAATTCAGCCTCTCTCACTGAGCTGAAAACGCCCTAATAGACTAATGGACTCCCTGCCTCCAAACTCGACCCTCATGGGGCGCGTCTCATTCACCAATTGCTTCTGACGTCCAACAGTGACACTCCCTAATGAGAGAGCTGGTGCGGCAGATCCGTAGAGCGTCTGGTGAACCCTAGTAAACTAGACTGTGTCCTTTTTAACGAGCAGACGCCAGGAAGGCAGGTGAGTGGCCCCCTCAGCTCCAGGAGTCCCGTGGCAGCCTCCTTCTTCAGGGTTGCTGCTGGGGGACCAGCGTCCCAGGAATGGAAGTCACAGGGGGACTGTATTGGGGGATGCATTTGGCTGATCTGAAATTAGACCCTCTGTATATTTTTTCAAAGCAGAAAACCTCAAAAAAAAAAAAAAGCCAGCCCTAGGTAGCTGCAAGTTGACGGGGCGGGGGAGGGGGGGGCGACATCCTGCCGCTTGAGCGTGCTTGCCTCCCAGACCTGCCCAGTGGGGACCCTTCCATCTTCCCGTCCCGGGGAGACCTGGACATCCAGCTCCACCTTGTTGGGTTCACCATGAAGATTCAGCATTTTGGGGGCTTCCCGCGAATGACAGTGGAGCGGGGGTGGAGGGGCGGCTGTCAGAAAGGTCTGTCTGGAAACACATGCCTTAGGGAGCCGGGGGCTGCTTGTTTGGGCCTTGGTTCGCTGACTTCTCTCAAGCAAAGATGGTTTTGTGTTTGCCCTGATGCGATGCTGTGCATTTTTGAGCCGCGATCCGGAATGATGCAGCTTTCCCCTCGCATTCCCGCTTTCAGACACTTGGGCTGGTTCCTCTAAGATGGAGACCGATGTCACCGTTTAAAAGAGCCGTTCAGGATTCCTTCCGAACCTCACATTTCAGGCTTTGGTGACTTTCGGTAAACAGACCACAGTTTCAGAAACTCCAGGTAGAAGGCCCTTTGGGGAGGTCGCAGTCCTGGCTGACTTCATGAGGTCAATGCCTTCCCTTCCTTTTTCCATGTCACAGTGTTCAGTGTTCATTTACGGGAATCCCCCCGAGCCCTCCCTCCACAAGAATAGCTTTGCAAAAGGCGGGCTCGTTAAAAAGGACACAGTCTAGTTTACTAGGGTTCACCAGACGCTCTACGGAGGAGCTGGGAAATGTTCCTCCTCTCCTCCAGGGAGGCAAGACCCCACCGAGGAGGAAGGACACAGGAGGCCCAAGGGTGCTCTGATGGTTGGCAGGGCTGCCCGCGGGGGAGGACAGAGTCGGGCCCCCGGACTTCCTCATGCTGGGGCTTATTCCCAGCTTCCTCCCAAGGTGACTGGAGCAGGCTTGGGTGGCTGGAAGAAGGGGTCCCAGGAGGGCACTGTCAGGAGAAGAGAGGGCCACTGCTGGGGCTCCTGCCTCAGGCCCCTCGCTTTTCAGGGCTCAGGGGTGCAGTGACTCTGACCTCATGTTCCACCTCACCATCCGGCCCCCCACCCCGTCTCAAGAAAGACCAGCCCCCTCCTCAATAACCACGGCTAATTAGAGGCACCTGCAGGTTCTTCCTGCTGCAGGCGACACCCACAGGCCCGCTCCCAAGGTCGCTATGAGGTATGCTATAAGGGAAGCTCACGAGCAGAGGAGACCCCAGCCCCCACAGAGAGGGCACTCTCTAAATCCTGGCTGCACCCTGCCTGCACCCATCTCATTAGGAATGCATGTTCCGTGCAAGACTGGGCTCGTCTATTAATGTCTACAGTCGCCCTAGTCAACGTCTTCCAGTGATGTTTGGTATCTGCAGCACTCCCTTGTATCATTCACGCCCCTGCTCCCTGAGCCGCCCACTCCAGAGGCCCGCCCTGCCCTCAGGCCTCTGTCTCCTCCACCCCGGTTTTTGTCCCCACCCCACTTATCCTAATTGGTGTCCTAACTGATGGCAACCACTTCCCCACCCGTGGCCTGCTCCCAGCTGCGCCACCAGCCCCTGCCCCGGCTTGTCTGCACAGCTGGTGCGATCAGTCTCTGCTCGTCCCACTTCTCAGACGTAGAGACTGAGCCTCGGAGCCGTCAGGGGGCCTGCATGGGTTCCACTGAGTAGGTGACAGTCAGGGCTGTCCCTGTCCAGGACCTAGGTGCTTAGCCACACCGCCATCCCAGCCCCAGGACCTTGGCTGGACTTCCAGAGCAAAATCGGACGTTGCTTTTTGTGGGTAGTGTCTTGAAAGCTAATGGTTATTGATCTCGGCCTGGCTGGCCCTGGCTGGGAAGGTGTGCGTCTGAAGTGGGTCCTGCTTTTCGGGAAGAACCGCCACAGTCCCAGCCTGCCAGACTGCTCTTCTCTGAACGGGGACCCCCGGGGACATCAGAATTGGCCCGCCTTTGCCCCATGCAGGACAGGCAGCCAGCCACGCGGCCATGTCTAAAGCAGCTGCCCCACACTGCCCTGCTCCTGGGTATGCTTGGGGGGCAGAGGGGCGCAGCAGGCAGGGCGGGAGGAGCTGTGCTGCTGTCTGTGGGCTTCCATGGCCCCATTTCCTAAGACAGCCCCCATCCTGGAGCCCTGGGCCCCTCCACTGCCTCCAGAGTGATTCTCCTAGACATGGGAATTTTCATGCCAGGGACATCTCTACCTTCTTTAGCATCCATCAGAGACCTTAGTCTAAACACTTGGGGGACGCCAGATATCCTGGGCCCTGTGGGCCCCCTCCCTGTGGATCTGAGCCACGGTGAAGGGAAGTCCTGGCCCCAGAGGCGCCCACCCCGCCCCCTCAGGAGAAGGCACGCTGCTTAGAGCCTCAGGCCTGAGTCAGGGAGGTGCTGTTGACACTGCCAGGGAAGGCCGGCCTCTGCGGTGGGCACTGAGCCTCAGTGGTAAAAGCAGACGGAAAGGTCCTCACCCTCCTGGACCTGCCTTCAGGGGATCAGATGGAACAAACAAGACGATTAGAGAAGACTCTAGCAGGTCAGGTGAGGATATGGCTGTGGAGGAAAATTGCAGCAGGAAAGGGAGCTAGGAAGTGTCAGGGTAGGGGATGGGGGAGAGCTCACCCAAGGACGGGGCTAGCCCAGGGTACCACCTCTGCCCTCAGGGACAGAGCCGAGGCCTCTGCAGCTGCCTCAGCTCCCGGGACAGCTTTCCTGGCCCCGCCCAGGGATGATGGAACTTGCTGCCCCTTGGGGCAGAGGTAGGGACCGTGCTGGTTTGTCCAACTGCCTCCAGAATCCTGCTCTGCTGCTGAAATAGCAACTCCCATCCCAACTTCTGTCTTCGGTGATGATGCCGGGGCCGCCCTGCAGGCATCCGAGCCAGGGCGGAGGGCTGTGGCCAGGTGCAGGGGGGAGTCCCCGAATTGTAGAGCACCCCTGGCCCCGTGACCGTGTCTTTGCTGCCCAAAGATACTGCAGGATGTGGCTACGCAGCCACAGCTCCCTCCTTGGTTCATTCACTCATGTACGTTAACACAGATGGAAGCATTCTGTGCGAACGCTTCTTCCTCTTGCCTTGTGGTCTTTTCTTTACTACTATCTCTTAGGATTCATCACATCTCAATCCATGTAGAGAAGCCTCACTGAAGGCTGCACAAATCTCCATTCTAGGGAAGGACTCTCATTTCCGCAACCAGTTGCCCCGCTGATGGACACCTGTGCTGTTTCTAGTTTCCGAGAGGGTAGTCCTGGCTCAGAAGGACAATTTAGCAGCAGCTCCTCACATGTCAGCTTTGCCGTTTCCCTATCTGTACCAAACCTCTGTCCCTCTCTTGTCACCCCCCCCCATCCTTACATGCATCCCATTCGGTCTGGGGCAAAATGTGTGGATTGTGACATACTCAGTTATCATGGAGGATGGTGCCCAAGGAATCTGCCGGGGCCGTGGCACCTGCTACAGGCAGAGAACATGTGTGTGAATCGCGTCTCCCTTTGTAAGCCTTCCTAGGGCGGCCTCCTCCCGCATCATCACCCTAGAGTTTGCTTCCGTGACAGGCGGGTGCATACTCCTTCCGGGAGACAGCCCCGTGCCTGGTCCGACCTTGGGCACACCGCCAGGGAGCACTGTGACGCGGTGGCTTCGGCGGTGGGGGGCCGGGCTCTCTGCATGCTCTCCTGCCCCTGTTTTCATTTGGAGCCCCTTTGAGTTCTTGCACTGGAATGCAGCTTGGCCTGCGCTTGTCTCGGGGCTGTGAGGGCAGAGGACGTGGCTTAGCCAGATTCCCAGCCGGGCAGCTTCGAGGACGGAGAGTCTGGTGCCAGGAGGAGTTTTCGTCCAGCGGCCCGGCCACGGGCGCCGAGACCCGTTGTGGCCGCTCCGGTTGGAGGATGTGTGTCTGCAGCACCCCTGCCCCGGGCACAGCATCCAGCCAGGCACCGGGGGGGAGGCAGCGGCACCATCTCTAACTCAAGGCCACTCGGCGTTTCCCGTCTGGACAGCGGCAGCTCCCAGGCCGGGCGGGACCATGTTGTCCATGACGTACAGCGAGAGCCTGAGGAGCGTGAACAGCAGGTGTCACTCTGACTGGGCCCTGCACCCCGTCCGCCAGACCGACAGGCCAGAGCTGCAGCGGCTGTGGGAGGTGCGGGCGGCCGCCCAGGCCAGGAACATGGAGAGCTTCCTCCGCATGCACGGCCTCTCCCTGGACGGCTGCACCGCCCGGCGCACGGGCATGAAGTACCGGTAAGGGCCGGGCTGGGGCCGGGCGGGAAGCGCTCTGGACACGGCAGGGACTGCAGGAGAGCTGCCGCCCAGGAGCTCGGAGAGTGCCGTGATCGGACACTGGGGTAAATGGTTCGTGTTTTTTAAAAAAGCCCAGCCACGTAGAAACGTATGAAAGAAAATCAAAGTCTGCTCTCCGCCGGATAGTCCTGCCCTCCCAGATAAGCACTGTGACCACTCGGACTTGGGCTCCCTGGGAAAAGAACGTGCTTTCTTGAAAACACTGCAGCATTGGGGGTTAAGCGCGGGGTTTTCATTTGCCTTCTTGCACCGTCACTGGGGCAAATGAATGATTAGGGGCTGGCTAGACACGAATTAACGAAAATGCCTCTCTGCTCGTCACCTCTAACAATAAGTTCGTCCTGGCACCAGAAACCCGGGCTACGTCCTGGGGGCAAAGATGTGCTCCCCCTCTTGTGGGACCCTAAGCTGGACCGTCCTCACACGGGGCAGGTTTTCCACAGGCGGCCTCTGAAGCAGCTGCCCCCCCTGAGCTTGCGTCCATAGCTGAGGATTTGGCGTCCCGTGTGCTCTC